CATATTATAGAGTCGTTGACATATGTTGTTAGTGTGCCTGTGTTTGGGTGTGTGTAAGAATAAATTTAGGATACATGCAGACATATAAGCAACTTTGTTGTTGTGTGTCCCAAGCTTTTAAGCACTTACCAATTATTTTGTGTTTAGCCTAACTGATAAAACTTTTAATGCAGACGCCTGAGGATCTAAAAACTTCCTATGGCACTAGCTAAGAACGTTTAACTTTAACATTATGCATTTTATAGATAAATGTAGTCGCAGTGTCAGAAACCTATGTGTGGCAAGAGCTTTTCATTACATTGATGAATTAAAACGAATGAAACCTAATTTAAAATGTATCTTATAGCTTTTCATGATTAGAGAAAGCATCTTTAAAAGCGCTTGAAAGCTCCCAAAAAATTTAATTTTTACTAACTTATAACTTATAAAAACTAAAGCAGTTGTATATTTTTTAAAAATGGAAAAACTTGATGTTTTAAAATGTTCCTATAACACTAGCTTAGAATGTCTACTCAAGTTAATTTTTGTTGATAAGTGTAGTCACATAAAAGCACATTGGTGCTTTCAACATCATTAGGTGCGAAATAAACGCACTTTTTAATGGACATTAAAGCTTTATATCGTCAGAGAAATCAGCTTTAAAAACACTTGAAAGCGCCCAGTAATACTTATTAAACTGTAACTAACTTAAAAGCACTAAGGCAGTTGTATATTTTTTAAAGTTCAAAAGTTCACTTGCCCACCAAAATGCATCACAATTTTTGTTTACTTTGTTCAAGTTTAGAGTCTTAACTGAAAAAGTCAATACAAAATACCTATGGCAAATATTGCCAACAATAGAGTATATGTGTTTACTTATATTCTTGCTTCCGATATGGTAGTCCTTAACTACAAATATAACAAAGCTGCTAAAGAAGACACATACACACACACACACTAACATACGCTAACATGTAACCTGGCCAATAATTTATTTCACATTTGCCACACGTAACAAATAACAAAATTCTATTAAATAAATTGAATATGTGACAGACAAGTGGGGAGTCTTACAACAAAACTAAACTGAATACGGAATCTCAGTTACACAGCCACTTGCTCCTTCTTTCTCTTTCTAAAGAACGTGTTGATATCTTTGTTTGGCACACGCGGGCAGGTATCACATATTTGTGCACACAAAAATTCGATAAGCAAAAATGCCATAAAGGCAAAATAAGCCTAACCAAAAAGTCAAATGCCTTCTCATTTTGTTTGATTGTTGTGCCGCACACACACACACACACACACACACACACGCACACAATCTTCCATGTTAGGCCATTTGACGTCTGTCAATAATTTCTTACCTGCAACTAGGCAGCAATGATGTATTATTTATGCTTGTGTGTGTGTGTGTGCCTGTGTATTTGTATTGAGCTGAAATTGAATTGTTATTTGTGGTTGCGGCTGTTTACACGTGGCTGTGGTGGGCCACGCATAACTTTCTTGTGGTTTATTAATAAATAGCACAAAATAAGGAGTCGAACGTGTTTATGCCCAAAATGAAGTACTTTAGATTCAATTATATGCGATATTTGGCAATCGAATTCGTAATGGAACCATGAATAGCAGCTACACATTGCCTGGCAGCAGATGCCGCCAACTCATTTGTTCAGACCTGACAGCAACAGGTTGAGGAAAACATTAAAAAACAGTATATTTGAGTTGGCAGGTTCACATTCACGCAACATAGCCCATTCGTAGCTGCTGTGCTGTATTTAAGTATATTGAATGCCACAACAGTTGCTGTGGCTGCCACAAATCAGATTTGTGGCATACAACCATTTATTTCACACTGGTGTCTGTTGAAAACCAAAAGCCGGAAAACCAGAAACCTGAAAGCACTTAATAGCAGCAGCTGCTAGTTGCAGGACTTTCTTCTGGCTAACCAAAGTCAAAACTGGATGCGAATTGAAGACTGCTAAAGGATTTGGTTGCATATTCAAGTGGCCAGTGGACTTTGACAGCAGCTGTCTGCCACAATTGTCTGGCAGAAATGTTTATTAATGATCATGACGTTATTTATAAGTTTTCTATTCATTTCCATTTTCAGCTGTTCTGCTGTTTCATGACGCCCACCAAATTTCAATGTGATTTACTTGATATTAGAAATAAGCAGCTCGCATTACTCATACGCCACAGTGTAACACAGCCAATCAATACGTGGCAATCAGTTGAGGGCTTACAAGTGTAAGCAGCAGCACATGGACCAATGACCAGCCAAGTGGCGACAGCAAATCCCTGCTAATGTGCTGCAGCATTCAATGACCCAGAATCCAGTGTCTAGTAGACACAAGCTGACCCCAACTGGGCGCAGCTGTGATCGAAACCCAAATTCCTAACATGTTAACGCCCAAAACAAAGACAACGTTGCCAACGCGTTGCCCCAAATCCTTTGAGAAATTAGTTGGGACCAGTTGAAAGATTTGGGTGTTGCCTTTGCCACTTATCCGCTAACTTCCAGTTCCTCTTGATGATTTAAAAACGTTTCCGCCGCAGCTGGGCTTTAAGTTTGTTCTCAGTCTGGCTTAACACGTTCATTCACAATTAAAGCCAGCGGCAGTCTGCATTTAATATTCCAGCCACCCAATGCCGCGGGCAAACAAATTCCACGCCAAGAAGCGCCTACGCAAACAATCAAAATTGCTTCACAAATCCGATGAATTAGGGGGCAACTTCAAGCGAATGGGGGAGGCGGCATAAAAAAAAAAAACGTCCATTAAAAATTGCCACACGCAACATAACGAGACTTGCGTCAAAGTTTTCATGCCAGTTGAATCTTGGGTTGGCCGTATCTCAGGGCTCATGACTGCGGGGCATTGGGCTCAGAGCAATAAAAATCAATCGCCACTGACGTCAACCAGACAGGCGTCTTGGCTGGGGTTTCTCAACTTGACATTTACCACTGTTTGACTGGCATGCCACAGTCACACACACACTCATACGCACACACACACACACACATTAACACATAACACATATGCACTTCATGCTGTTTGTGTGATTTTAATGGAACTTGAAACTTTGTCTTGGCTTTGCTTGCAAATTGCATGTGGTTGGCAAAGAAGATTACCAAGAACCAAGTACTGGGAGCCAAAGCTCTTAAATTGCAAAAACTAGAGACAGCTGTGTGGTTCAATGTGGTGCAGTGTGGTTGTTGCGAGTGGTTTGGTGCCTTTTCTGGCAATTTGTTGCAGCATTTAACTGAATGTGTCCCTAATGAAATGGAGTCAAAGGACAACGCAAGCTAGCTAAATCAAATTACAGCTTGTAAAATGCAATTACATGCAACTAAATAAACAGAAGTCACATTTTTCATTTTACTCGCTCACACCCACTCAAAGGAGCATGTCCTTGCTGGTGAACAAAAGTAATGCAGAAAGCATCAGACTTGCAGCAGCCCAGTTCTGGCTCTCAATCCTGCGAAAGTAGCAGCTGCAGTTCAGCAACTCAATTACAAATGCGCAAAATACTAAAAACCAAGTTAACAAGCAACCAGTCATATACAAAACAGTTCATGGAACTGCCATTAAATCACTTAAAGCCCTCAAGAGTACCGAAGTGAAGTTGGCAGCAAAATGCTGAAAAAGTCAACACCTGTTGCTCGCTTTCCATCGTAACCTTTAATTGCGCTGCTTGGCCAAGCTGTGACTCCCCCTCTAATTTAATTATCGATAAAAGCAAAGCAAGCAACCGCATCCCCTGCCAGCGACCCTTGTGTAAATATTTACCCAAACTTGCCCAAGAAATTATTGGCGTATTTTATATCAGAGTCGAAAGGAAACTTGTTGTGGCTATTATTAAGATGATAAGTCGAATAAAGCTGTTAGTCAGGAGAGAGCTTTTAGCAGTTGAGCAGGGACTTATAATAAGTTTATTTATAGTAAATATTTTGCAGACAGAAAATAAAGGAGTCTTAAAGAAAATAAATACCCACTCGCCTGTTTCAATTTCCAATCGATTTAAAAACTAATATATTCCTTCAGTCCAACGTTATCTGATATGACGAATTGTAAATATTTTATTATCAAAAACCTTTTTTTAGGGCTTTCAAAATACGTATGTGAATTATATATGTAGAAATATGTATTATTTCTGTGTATTTCTCAGCTGACTAACGATTACATATCCTCTCAAGCCAAAAAGTCGATAAGAGCCAAGGTCCTGCCAAAGGGTTGTCCTATATTTCGGCTCTTCAAATATGTAAAGACAAATTGCGGCTGAAATTTTCTATTTAAGCCTGTAATTCATAATTTAATTTTCAGATTTAATACGCTGCGCATTAACAAAGTAATTACGGCAACCACAACGGCGAGCTGCCCAATTTTGGACACAAGTTTCAGGTCCTGTATTTTTAACAATCTGCCCAGTTGCCATGGCAGTCAAACAGACGTCGACAGGGGGGAGGCTGCGAATACTAACGGGACGGGCGAGGAAGGAGCCTCTATTGTTGTTGTGCAGTTGGGAAAATGAGTGCACAAAATGAAACGACAGCTTAAAATTATGTTCAAAATCAATGCCAAAAACTGTTAATTACGTTCGACTAGTCGGAGGCTAAAAACAAATGCGTCGAAATCTAATTAGACGCTTTTTGAACAGGCCCAAATTAATCGGCAAATATCTAGCGTATTTATTTTTAAAGTTGTATGCAAATTTATAAAGCACATTAATTTTAATGTTTTTCTACTTCTACAAGCTTAAACGGGGTTGAGTCATTTACTTCAAAAGGCTCAACAAATGTATTTTAGTTAGGTACAAGCACATATTAAACGCAGACTGTGTTCGCATCACGAAGTCAGCTTTAGTTAAACCAAGCCAATTTAATGTGACATGCAGTTAATATGTCAAAAATATTCAAACACCCACGATATTTTGATTCGACCTACATCTTGATATTTGCATGTTGAATTGGAAAGTAAGGCTCTTAATTTAATTTTTGTGTTTCTTTCATTTATCCACAGGGCCAATCGTTATGTCAAGAGATTTTCAACCAACACCAAAAAAAATGGATAAGAAATAACCGCCATCTAAAAGCTAACACAAAGAACAGCCAAAAGCCAAACGGAAAATCGCAAAAAAACAACATTAAATTCCTTAAAATGTAAAAGAAAAAAAGAAAAAATTCAGTGAAATGTCAGCATGTCAAACGTGGCAATGAGCAAAAGTAGACGCAGAAAAGAAGAAAACAATAAATTAAAATCGAATAAAATGTGAAAAAATGTTTCAAGTCGGCAGAAGTGGGACTACGATAGCTGCGTGTTCTGGGCCCAGATTCAATTGTTGCTACTGCTGATGTTAATGCTGCTGCTGCTGCTGCTGAAGTTGCTGCTTGAGGCACGGTCAATGGCCTGTTGCTGGTAAGCTCAGGCAATAGCGTGGCAAACACACTTGCACACGCACTTGCGGCGATTGTCGATTGCGTATACGGCATGTAAGCCGCATGGCTCAGAAGCGACAGCAGTTCAACAGTTTGTTGCCAGCCGCCAGTTTCTATGGCATTTGATAATTCTTATTCAACTGCATTACATTTCTATTCGTTTAATTTAAATGACAACAAAAAATATGCAAAATATTACATATGGGCTACAGGTGAAAGTAAAGGCGTCTAATATCACAAACATATACTGAAGCAACTCATGCGCTGTAGCATTCGTTGTTTATTTGTTGGCAGCCGCTGGCTAACTGGCAACTGGCAACTGGCTGAAGCCAGCACAGACACCCACCATGTGGAAGGCACTTTCCAGGAACATGTTGGCATTTGGCACGCTGGAATGGAACGCAACAACAGTAGAAATAACAAAGTAAATGCTCCCAATTGCATAATACAAGCATAATCTTGTTTGAACTGCCTCAAATTGGTAATAAGCATTTGCAAAATATTTAAAGGCAGCTCAAAATTAAATTAAAATATAAGAAAAAAATAAAATAAAATCCTTTAAAATAGTCAAGTATTTGTAGTATTTCTGTTGCAGAACTGTCAGCTTGTTGTCTGACCGCAAACTTACAACAAATCACCTGTTGCTTTCACTACCCATTGCCGAGGGCTTTAATTAAAGTCTGCCATCGACACAGTCAACTTTTTGCGTTACTTTCGCAAAAGTTTGGCCCGCCTGCGGCTCTAAGCCGGTTGGGCAAACTTTGATTTTGCGTCCAAATGACAGTTGGGCTATAGGTAGAATAAAATAAATTACATAATCCACTTCGCTGACATTTGTCAAAGCCAAAACCTGAAGAAAGTAAATCTTCAGGCATTATATTCAATGCGACATTATATTTGCTGTGTAACAAAATAAGTCAATTAAAGTAGCCTTAAGCCACAACGAACTACAAGTTGACTCTTAAAATAATGACAAATCATAATATGGCATAGGTATGGTATTTGAGAGCAAGCAAGGCATAATTTTTCACAAAGATTTAATGCTCAGCTGGCGTTGGCTAGTCAAACATTCCCATCTTATACTCATATTTTGCAACACTCTGCTCCTTTTTGTCACAGCTTTAAACCTTTTTAAAGCGACAAGCTAGATTAATTGCAAACTTTAAGCTAGGCCACACATTCTAATCGGATGATTAATTTTCAGTTAGTACTTGGCATCCAGCTGAAAATAAAAGGCGACAAATCAACCCAATCCCTGGTTAGACAGACGCAAAGTCAGACAGTCTGATCCTATTTACTTTTGTGCTCGTACATGGAAATCCTTTTAATGAGCTTCAACTGTAGTTAACTAGGCGCCCGATAGCAAAAACCAGAGACCAGCTAAAAGACAAACTTCATTGAAATGGCAAGTGGTAAGTAAAATGTCGCCACATGCAAAAAGTTAGCAACAAGTAACGCAACAAGGCTTAAATGCAGCACACACACGCACCAAATCCCAGTACGCACAGAGGGATTTCAGACAGAGCAGAACATATAATAAGTTACACATATGTATTTATATATTTGGCTGTTCATACAGGAGCTGTCTGCCTTCTGATGGTATCCTATTGTTGCGCTAATGACACTTTTATAACTTTTTATAGATTTTTCACACTTAATGTGAACTTGTGCCATTTATCGTGGCATTCCCGACAGCGACAACAATCCTTTTTGTAAGCAGCGCCAGCGATGCGTCGCCTATTTCGCCCTTTTCTATCGCCCGCTTCCTTTTTGCAAACTTATTTACGAGAATGTGCGGAAGATTCTGCCGGATTTGCACAGGCCCAGCTCAGCAACCATTATGCTACATGCGAATAGATACACAAATGTGTGTGTGTTTGTGTTTGTATTTGTGTTTGTCTAGCTGTTGTTGCCGCTGTTTGTCAGCTGGCGGGCGCACGACGCGTATACGCAACGTGGCGCATACGAAACAGGGCAAACCCAACGCCGCTCTACAATATTGCAACAAATCCCAAATGCGAGGCATGAACAACTTTTAAACTTCCCCCAAACTCTTGCACATAATATGTTTGAATAGCGCCCATGTAACTGTGTGTGTGTGCGTGTGTGCGTGTGTGGTTTGCCTTATAAACATTGATGCGTGGCAAGTTAAATTCAGAGAGAGATAAATTGTCTCTTCGGCCTAGTCTGAGCTCTATCGTGTGGGATGGGGAATGAGCAAAATCAAAAGCAATCATCTTGATATTTGCTCAGCGTACAAGGCTTATGTTTTAGTTTTCATATGAAAATAGATAAAGAAATCGTTTATTTTGATTTCATGATGCTCTTAAAGTATTTTAGGTCCGTTCAGCCAAAAAACATTGAGAATTTAACACAATATTAAAGGTTCAATATACACAATTTAGCTGTTGATGTATATATAGTAATTCATATTTTACGACTTCTAAATAAAACATACAAATTTGTAATAATTAAATCAACACGTCTACTAGGAGTCAAGATTATATGTTAGTAATAGCTGTTGTCAATGTAAACAATGCAGAAATACTTAAATGGCTGACTAGCAAATACTCTTATATAATCTTAATATGTATGACGTTATTGACATTATAATTATATGTGAGTAAACGTATTTTAAAAATGAAACAATCTAGCTTTTTAAATTGCATTGTGGAAAAAAAAAAACTATCTTAATGATAATAGGCTAACACTAAGATTAAAAAAATAAGCGCAATAAGTAAGTAAGTAGTACTTCGTATTCGAAATAATTCTGAGCAGAGGAAATTGAGTTATGCAACGTTGAGTATTAATTCTCTTATCAAATAATGCCTATGCTTAAATAAATAAAACACAGCATGGGCACCCGGGTATAAAACCCGATTGCGCTCACGAATGCTTCGCAATAATAGAAGGAATGAATAGCAGACAACATGCCTTTCAAGCCGGAGATTATCTACGATCCAGAGAGCAGGATTTGGAGCTGCCAAGATGAGCACGACCATTTTGCAGCTGATCTGTCTATAGGTGAGATAATCTTTAAAGAAATGCGACGTCATCCCAATCAAGTAGCTCAGGTAAGATGTCCCAATTGCGTGCGTACAGAGCTAATTGGAAAATCTTTTCGATGTCAGATTTCGGTTACGGAAAATACCGTGTTAACCCGTGAAGATCTACTCCTGAATCCCATGCGCGTGGCCAGCTTCATGCGCCAACTAGGTCTACACCAGTCGGATATTGTGGGCATTGCGGCTAGGAACACCACGCACATATCCGCTGTGGCCTACGCCTGTTACTTCAATGGCATCGCTTTTCATTCGGTAAGCATGTTCCACGAGCAGCCAACAATTGAGAGATTATTTGATATCACCAAACCACGAATTGTTTTCTGCGATGGTGATGATTACGACAAGGTGCGAGGCGCCACGCAGAAGCTGGATGTAAAAATAGTCACCATGCGCAAACATCCGGCAGGCACTATATGCATTGATGAAGTTCTGCAAACGCCTGTGGAGGATAATTTTAGGACTGTACCTCTTGACCAGGGAAACGACCAAACATTGGCTATTCTCTGTTCCTCGGGCACCACGGGAACTCCCAAGGCAGTCACCATACCCAACAGCCGCAAGATTTTAAATGGATCCGTGTAAGTAAATCCTGCAACTGTATGTTACGATAAATCCCGCTGTCATTCGAGCAGCATGCTCAACAACGCCGATGTACAGTACGCACCCAGTACACTGGACTGGATTTCTGGTCTCATTACAACCATAATTTCAACAGTGTTTAGCACGAAGCGCATAACTGCTGACACTCCCTTTGACCCGGCCGTATTCCTGCGACTTATTGAAGAGCACAAAGTTACGTGGGTGCTGCTGGCACCCGCGCACCTGGCATTGATCGTTAGCTGTCCGTCGTTCGAGCGAGCCAACTTGGAGAGTTTGCAGTTTTTGGAAGCGCAACATCGGGTACGCCAGCGGCTGCAGCAAGATATCCTGCAGTTTGCCTATGGACTGACGGAGGTGGGCACGTGGGCCACATTGAACATGCATTTTGATGAGAAGCCCTACTCAGTTGGCCGCTTGACACATGGTTTCCGGCTAAAGATACTTAAAGAACACGACGAACCCTTGGGACTCCGTTACATAGGCGAAGTGTCTCTCAATAACGGACAGCACTGGGAGGGCTACTACGGCAATCCCGAAGAGTCACGCAACATACGTGACGGCGAACAATGGGCTACTTGGGCGACTTATAGATATAGTGGATCGCAATAAGGATTTACTCAAATATCGGAGTATGAAGTACTTTCCGAACGCAAGTGGCAGATGTTTGCGTATTCGGCGCATGGAATCAGTTCAACGGCGATGAGGCTGTCGCCGGAGCTTGAAGCAGATGATGTTGTCGACTATGTGAAACTCCATGTGGTGGAAAAGCACAAACACTTAAATGCTGGGGCTATCATTGTGAACGATCTGAAACGAAGTGCCAATGGCAAGACAAATCGTGCAGCCAACAAGGCATATTACTTGGCATCAATGGGTTAAGGGAAATATAAGCAGAATATCGACTCGATATTTTCTTTATGAACATGTTTTGATCATTTCTATGCACTGAATTTTCATTTAATTTTGATTAAATATGATTTTCAACCGACAATTCCAACAGACAAGTTATTGCTCACATCAAATTGTAAGTGATACATACCGAGTGTGGTTAGGATAAAACAATAAACAACAAATTTTTTTATACAAGAAGCTAGCTCCTACGAAGTAGAGGGACGGGCATGGTTATATAGACTTGGTTGTAGATACTGATCAAAATGACAACATTATAACATAAAATGAATTAAAATGGTACAAAAAGTATTATTAAATATGGCCTCACTATGCGATTCTCATCAATTCAAAAGCGGCAGGTTTTACACAGTCTGATTATGGGTACAACGATTGTTTTAACGAGATTATATTCCTACTATTGGTTATTAATTCGAAAGACTTAAATAATTTTCAAAAATCAATTTCAAATATAAGGTTGGACGTGGAGGCCGACCAAGTCCGTGTAAAAAGAAGCTAGTTTATTATTATGTATGACAGAGGCTCTCAGCTGAAATTTAATATTCTGTTAGGCAGTTGCATCCATTTATTTTTATCATATTCACTTTTTATTCTTTGGCGTTTTTATGTTATTGAGCTTCCACTGCCAGCTGAAATCATTACCGCCTATCGCCACATACTATTTTTTATATTTATTCATTTTCATTTATTTTAAACTTAGAAAGGAGGTTATGCGCGTCCAGTAAAATAAAAAGCGCCGCCATTGGCTTTACACACGATTGCCCACATATAACACACAGATACACACACACACACATGTACTTGGATGATGGAATGAAAGCCGTTGTTGAACGCAATTCAATTGGAATTAAATTCAAGCAGCGGCAGTTGCCTCGAGCATTGGCTGCAGTTGTTGTTGCGGCCGCATTGTTGGCCTCATTGCCAGCTTAGCTGTTCACACTAGTAACCGCTGTGTGTGTGTGTATCTGTGGGTGTGTGGGTGTCCTGTAACTAGTAT